TTGGGGGGGGATAGTGGGAGGGCTTCTAGTGTCCTGGCCCCACTGCTGGACTTCCTGATGGCACCTGGTATTTTTGGCCACTGTGTGACAGAGTGTTGGGCTAGATGGGCCATTGGCCTGATCCAACATTGGCTTCTCTTATGTTCTTATGATCTGTATGTATCTCACATATCTTCTTACCACAAGATTTTAGAGACTTTCTTGTGTACCTGAGAGTTAAATTCACTATGCAAATATTCTGCTGCTGTAGTATTTCTAGAATCACAATCATTTATCTAATCACTGTATTTTACAGTGCTGAGCAGAAATGCATCCTTGAAATAATGAAGGACATATACTACTGGCTGATGGGAAGAAGATATTTTCAGTGTGAACATGAATATATGTCTCTATCTTCTTCATTTCTTTGGGCTTTGTTGTACTTGGCTATTTACTAATAGCTAAGGATCATGTCTCTGTTCACAGTCTTGTTACGTGAATACATGAAAGATTGTATTAAGAAGTTGCTCTTGGTCAGTTTTAGAGACAGCAGCTGAATATAAGGGACTCAAGTCAATGTAACTTTTAATGTTTTTAACTTGTATGATATTTTGGTTTTATTGTGTCCTTGTATACTCCCCTGAGCCCTGCCTTAGGGAATGGGTGGTATAAAAATTGAATTAAATAAACAAAAAAGTTTATGGTTTTGTAAACCTAAAGCAACATTCAGTAGTTCCTAGAAAGCTATACAGATCATGGCTCTTCGAACACTTAATGACCCACTAATACTGCAAGAAGATGCACTAGTCTCCATTCTAGCTACTAAACAGACAGCAAGGATATCACAACAATGGAATACAAGAGTTTAAAAAATATATGACTTACTTACTACATTAGTAAAGTACACGATGCTTAGTTAAACTAAGTGAGAGCAAGTGTTTGGGAAGATTAACTTTCCAGGATGACATTAAGGTAGAGTCAAAAGATCACAGGACTGTAGAAAATTATAGGTACAAGCGTGGACAGAGGTCTTCTTACTAAACTTTAGCTTAAAGGATGATTTTGGGTCAACAGTGTGAACCTGAAAGCTTCAGACAAGGGATTTTTGTATACGATTAATAAAAGTAAATTTAGCTTCCTGTTTATTTTGAATAAATACCTCGGCATCATACTCCCAAAGTTGATTTCCTCTCATGTGGTGGCACTTTAACATAATCACAGGGCCATTGAGCCTAGAGACATCCAAGCATAAATCATCTGTGCGAATCTCCATGTCAGCAGTGTAAGAAAATACCTGGAAGAGATAAATGGTTATGTTAAAAATACTGCTATAATGATTCTTTCAATCAAAATAGCATGAAAAGAACAGATATGAAACACATAAACCACTATGCAAGTCCTTCCACACTTTATACAGTGGCATAATTTTGGCCAGTGAAGGCACTGTAGTAAGGCTTTAAATCTCTCTAGATAGGTCGGTAGATTGATCGATCGGTAGATCGATAGATAGGGTTTTCATGGCATGAGGCATTCAGAGATGGTCTGCCATTGCCTGCTTCTGTGTAGCAATCTTGAATTTCCCTTGTGGTCTCCCATCTAAATACTCACCAGGGTGAACTCTGCTTAACTTCTGAGACCTGACAAGATTGGGCTATTCAGGTCAGGGCATAATAAGGTGTACTACTGATTAATACTCACACAAACATCTCTCTCTGGGGAAATACAGTTTCCTTCTTGTTAAACAACAACAAATGCCCTGCTGGTCTCCTTTTTTGGGAAGAGGAACATAGACAGTACACTGTGCTAGTACCATAGGGTTGCCAAGTCCTATCTTCACCCCCAACAGGGGACTTTGGGTGGCATTTCTGGAGGGGGTGGGGCATCCCGACGTGATGATATCACGTTGGGGATGTCCCCCCGCCCACTCGCCAGGGGTGCCAGCTCCCTGCAGTTAAAGCTGCCCCTTTAATTGCAGGGAGCTGGCGTTTCCACACGCCTGATCGGTTGGCCTACAGCCATACTTCTCCCTCCTCTCTCTCAAGAGAGAAGGGAGAGGGGTGGCAGCGGGTGTTGGGGCTTGGGGGCGGGGCTTCCCCTGGCAGCCAGCTGGCTGCTGGCGGGTAGAAGCCCCCCAAAAGCAGGGGACCCCTGCCAAACCAGGGGGTTTGGCAACCCTCATAGTTCCAACCGGTTGTAACAGAACATAGGAAGAGAGAGCCTTTAAGGAATATGAGGTCCAGTTGCTTAGGGGGAAAGTGAGCAAGTTGTTCAGCACTGAGGGGCACCATCACAGGGTTATGCCCTGTTTTCAGCATACCGTGGTATTTAAGGCAGCTTACAAAATAAAACAATTAAAACTATGTATGTGGTACGTATGTTGTACCGTTTTAACCAGAACACAGAAGTGAATCATTTCAGAGGATGCATGTAGTCATGTGCCTCTTTTGGCAGAGAATGACATTCTCTTGTGCCTGAATGCCAGTGCCATACACTTCAGCAGGGCATCTGTATCAAAATGTCAAGTGTTGGGTTATTAATGCAGTTTGAATAGCCCTCCAAGGCAGTCCCTTAGAGAGTCCCATTACAGCAATCTAGCCTTGAAGTTAAGACAGATGGAATGGAAATTTTGGCATAAGATTTTAAATACATGCTGCAGAATTCTCACCAAATAATTAAAAGTCTACCATAAACTGCAGTTACTGCAATTAATTCAAAAATATCCATAGTGGCTGGAGAAGGCTGAATCCATCCATGTATTTTCATCATACCCAGCCATTAGAAAAATTACTATGAATTAACAGAACATTAAAAGAATCCCTAACTTTGGGCAAGGGTCATTGCAAGGATCAAGACAAACAAGGATATGTTTCAATCCAGCATGCGCTCCCTTGGGAAGTTTTAACCAATGGACATTTAATTGAGAATGTTACAAAATGCTCCACCATGTTCACAGGAAGGATAATTCAGTTTGGTAATCTCAATTCTCACACATGTTAATATATTTTTTGTGTTAATTATACTGGTGAGACTAACAGGTAAGGCACACGGGCTAAGGGACCTTTTCCATGGCAGCCCCCCAATTATGGAACAATCTCCCCAGGGAGGTGAACCTGGCCCCTTCATTGTTGACCTTCAAGAGGCAGTTGATGACAGTTTTACTCAGGACTGCATTTTGATTGATTTAGCTTGTGTTATTGGCAGTCCTATTTGGAGTTTTTAAACTGTGGCTTTTATGGGTTTTATATTTTTTTAAAGTAATGATTTATTTATATTGTAAGCTGCCTTGAGTTCTGCAAGGGTGAAAGGCAGCTAATAAATATTTTAAATAAATAAATTAATAAATATATGTATGTATATATATAAAATAAGGGTAGAGGATATGAGCCAGTAAATTTCCAGTTCAATTCTCACCTCAGCCATGAATTCACTGGGTGATCTTAGACAAGTAATTTTCAGTCAGTCCTTCATCTTGCAATACAGGGATAAGAATACTCATCTACCCTAGGGGCAATGTAAAAATTACTAAGGTAATATATGTGAAGAGCTTTGAAGTGTCTAAAAGTGCTATATAAATGGTCAGTGTTGTCATGATGATTACAGACATCAAAAATACTTTACTAGTTATTCATGGTCATTACTCATATTCATTTACTAGGTAAAACTGTTCAAAGAAAAATAATATGCATTAATGCAATTAAGGGAGGTGGGGTACATCTCTCAATCATCAAGAGATTTATTTCAGTGTAACTGTAGGGCTACTAATCTTCTGAATGCCATAGACATAAGTAAATCCATCATATATTGCAACAGAAATACAATCTAAATCAAAGTTGGACTAGTTTGCACAACAGAAAGGGATAAATCTCGCCTGAAGCCTTCTATTCTGTGATTTGGCCAAAATATTTCTAATAATATGCAATAATATGCAATAGCCCTTGAGTATAACCAGAACACTGTTCATATTTCCATGAGGCAAATTGATAAACCTGTTGGTTCTCCAAAGAAACATTTGAGGCTAAGTCATTGAATTGAAGGCAAACTTTGATGACTTTTCATATGCTCCACAAGCTGCTAATATCAAGATAAAGATGTATTTTTTTGGGGGGAAATAGACATTTCAAAACAAACTTCTGAATACTTTTAGAACAATAATATTACACTGATGGTACAAAACACATGATTTGTAATTTAGTAGATTTTTAAATTATGATACGGAATTAAAACAATATTTTTTCAATGCACATTGGATGGTCGCAGGGTACCGATTGGTCCAGTTGTGTGGGATACCTTTCAGCTTGTTGAGTCTGAGGATGTGAACAGGATTCTTGGGTATTTGAGACCTACCACTTGCTTGTATAACACTTGCTCCTCCTAGCCGCTTAAATCTGCCTAGGGATGCTGGCAGAATGGATCCAGGAAACATTAAATGCCTCGCTAATAGAGGGGGTGGTCATCCTTGCCTTGAAGCAGGCCTTGGTGTGCCCACTCCTAAAGAAACCTATTCTGGACCCTGGAGAATTGAATAACTACCATCCAGTCTTAAATGCACCACTCTTGAGCAAGGTGATTGCATAAGCGGTGCCTGGACAATTTAAGGGGTTCCTGAATGAAGCAGATTGTTTGGATATATTCCAAATAGGATCATGGCTATGGGACTGAAATGGCTTTGGGTCATCCTAGTGGATGACATTGCACTGGGAGAAGGATGGGGGAGTGCAACCCTACTCATTCTCTTGGATCTCTTGTTGGCAGAGTTTAAACATGCAAAGGAAGTGGAGCACTGACTGTTTAGAGAAAAATAAGGAGGTTTATTTAAAGAAGAACAAATTGTTATAGAACATAGAAGAGAGCCTTAACTTTCTAGCCTAACTGCTGTGAGAGAAAAAATAACAAGAAGGAAGCTCTTCAGGAGCAGGAAGTCTCCAGAAGAGCCAATCAGGAGATAGCAAGGACATAATTTGAAATTGTGGGCAGTCCCTAATCTAGCTATGCTAACTACTAGTCCTTCAGCTGTCTTCCGTAGGATGATCTTCAGATCTTCTTCATAAGGCTGCACTATAGACCTTGCATATTCCAAAACCTCTCAGTGGCTTTTGATACCATTCATCATGGTATCCTTCTGGACTGCTTTCAGGGCTCTGACGGAGGTGCACTGTCTTGAAGTGGTTTTGGTACTGCCTTAGAGGTAGGTTTCAGATTGTGGTGCTGGAGGACTGCTTTTGTGGTTCTTGGCCTCTGGCCTACGGGGTTCTGCAAGTTCCATCGTCGCCCAGGCTGTTCAATCTCTCTCTGCTGGGAGAGGTCATCCAGAGATTTGGGCTCAGTTTTTACAACAATATGCAGATGATACTCAGCTCTCTCTCACACTTCCAGCAAATCTCAGGGAGGCTATGGAAACTGTGAACAGGTGCCTGGAGGCAGGGTTGGAATGGTGTAACGTGGGAACGGTGGAAGGTGTAACAAACTGGAACCCAATCCCAACCAAACAGAAGTTCTACTGGTGGGGCAAGGATTTAATCAAGGAAATGGGATACCTTCTATTCTAGATGGGGCTGCCCTTCCCCTAAAGAAGCAGGCTCGTAGCTTGGGGTGCTCCTGGAGCCAGGCTTCTTGTTGGATAAAAAAGTGACAGTGCTGGCCAGGGGTGCCTTTCACCAGCTTGGGCTAGTAAACCAGCTACAACCTTTCTGGGACAACTATAAATTAAATAGATAGAATAAAAATAAAGAATACTACATACACTTCTAAGTATTTAACATAAAATTAAAAAGGTACAGACAATAAACGTAGGTTGCAACCAGCAGGAGACTGGGTGGGATAAGAATATGGGGGAGTGGCTGTCAGCAATGGTGTGACATCACTTCTGGGTTTTCCCCAGAAGTGATGTCAGTCTTTTCTAAGAATGGCCAAAAATGCTTATCATTTTACCACAGAGTTTCCAGTGTTTCCTAGAGAAGCACATCCCTTCTGGGTTTTTCCTGTAAGTGACATCACACCATTGCCAACTGCATTTACATTTTTATTTTCTTCTGCTAGCCACTGGAGTGCCAATGGGCAAGGCCCACTTCCTGCCCCCAGTGGTCACATGGCAACCCTATAGGAGGGGTTCTTGGGAGGTTTTGTCACACTTGCTAGCCAGCTTGCTCTTGTCCAGAGCTGTAGTAGCAGTGACTGGGTCAACAGGAAAGCTGCACGTTTGGGCAGGAAAGGAAGGGCTTTTCTTCCCCTGCCCAAGCCAGCTGGCTTGTATTCCTCCCAGACTGCAGTGGCAGAGCTCAGGAGGAAAGGAAGCTG